CTCCTTCTGTACAAGCAGGTGTGGTACTGGCAGCGGAAACGGCAGCGGGAACGTTGGTGGTAGTAGCAGCGCCGTCCACGCATCCTCGCCCAGTCCACACTCCACCACTGCGGTCGACCATCGGTCCTCTTTCCAGGAGAGTATGAAGGAACTCCGAAAGGTGAGGTCTTATCCTTGTTAACCTGTCTCCTTTTTTCATAGGTCTGGGTTTTCTATCCCCCTCTGTCCTTGTTCTGCTTCACATTCCTATTTTCCTGGCGTCAAAGACTACCTCCTAATATTTGTCGTCCCGTTGCCCTTTTTTGACAGGTTACGAGACTGGGACCCCCTTCCCGTACGCTAAAGTCCAGGGTGGTTAAAACTAAAGTTGAGGCTTGTGTGGGGATTAATGTTAGGATTGGGTAAACTTCCTGGAATTCAGAGCAAAACCACCTGTATTACAGGGGTCCCCTATTCCCCCTTGTTTCTCCCTAGCGTGTCTCTTCATTTAGCCGTGCGACTTATCTTCTTTAAAGGCCAACGTAGACTTTTAATGTATTTTCTCTAAAACCCATTTCATTAGGTGACAGATGATGGGAGCTGGTACTGGTCTAATGAACCGTTTTTTTCCTTTTACGTATCTGGGACTGCACTACTATTATGCCTCCGATCTTATCACTTTAAAATGATGTTTGTTGATAACAGTAGATCTCGCCTTGACGGGAAACGCGTTTCTTGTTTTTGAACAGACACTTGCTTCTCTAGGCAGATCTAATTAGATTGCCTCAACCCTAGTCCTGAGTCCGTTCAACGTCCCGATTAGTTTTGGGCTTCGCAGACAGCAGTCACGTAGACGGCTTTTTGGAGGCGTTTTCCTATTAGAACCTTGATTTACAGATGAACATTTGCATCCGCCACGTCTGCAAACCACTTTAGGGTTCAGAGACTCCAACGAGCCGCGAGTGAACCCGTTTTAGTCCCGGAAGGTAGCTTTTTTTCAGATCAATGCCCGGCACGCTAAAAGGTATTTCCTCTGCCTGGTCCACAACTTCTTATCTGCCAGACTCGAGAGCCTGCTTATCTTGAACCTAGCCCGTCTCACTATTCTTCAACTGTGAACGCCCTATACGGTCTGCGGCTAGGCGGACAGTAACACCCGTCTGC